AAGTATTGAATCTTGAATCTTGGAGGAAACCTGAGATCTACGAATTTCATTGCCAACGACTGCTTCCCTGTAATTGTGCATATGACAAAGGACTAGAACTTGAACAGAGCCTGGGGCTGCGGTAACCACAGCTGAGACAAACAAGAGGTGGTAAGTAGTTCAAGTTACGAGTCTGCTGGATTCAGACGGATACTATCTGTGGCTGTCTCTGCATTAACACAGAACTGTGTGAGAGCAAAGGCCAGAGCTGGAAGATACCACAGTGTCCTCACTGTACATTGTACCATGTAATTTGCGTTATTGGTCTGGCAAGGCAAGTTTATTTGTAAACAACATAAGACATACATTAGGACAACATTTAAAATTTACATTCAACAAACATTGCTTTGGAAAATTATGAATACAGTATTGACTGATGAGAATCATTGGAGTGTAAATCCATCTCAAAGAAAGGGTTCAACATCTTGGTCAAATATATTTATTTATTTTCTTTTTGGCTGGACTGCTACAAGCAGGGGCACTGAAGACTTTCAGTCTACGCCTACTCACTATGTATGCCCCATCTCGGTCTCCCCTTGTGTATAAATTGGACTGAGATTAGAAGCTCCCAAAAACAGTTTCCTCAGCTAGTTAAAGGTAGCAGTGTGGCCCATAGCTTAGAGAGCTGCAAGCGTGTAGGAGATGCTACGGTGGCCGTGAAACTTGTGGAAGGCCCTATCTAGAGCCAGTGTTTGGTTTGTCCGTTCTGGGTTAAACATGGCAGTTTAACATGGTGGACTCCGTAGAAGAGGACCTGCTCCCTCTGTACACCTCTCCAACTGTTAAGCATGGATCTGCACGGATAGAGAGAAGAATGGATTCCCCTAAATACCAGCAAATTCTGGAAGCCAACATCACACCATCTGTAAAAAGGCACTTAATTAGATCCACACTTTGTACTTAGCAATGTAACCATGGTGACAATAAGAATTACTGGGATGGAGGGGAGAATCCTCATTATCTTCTCCTCCTGTCCTCTTCATCCCATCCTTCCAGCTGGGAACAAAGGGTGAGGAGTGAGGATAAAAATGCTTCAGCTGTAGTCTCCTGTGCTGTGCAATGGAGTGTGCTCCTCAGTCTGACATGATGCTCTAGTTTTACCATTAGCTTTGTTTATGCTCCGTTTCCAAAAGCTACAAATTCACTTTGCAATGCACATGGCACTACTATTTGGTCACAGAAATTTGCTGTTCACAGCACGCTCACCTGAAACAAGAATCGTGGTTAAAATAATCTGTAACAAATACTTTCCCTAAATTGGTACATCTACATAGATTCTCCTATGTGATTACAGACCACTTTTCTTCAGAGGATTAACACTGCCCTGGATTGATTAATTGTAGTATGTGAGACAGACAATCTGTGAAAAAATCTGGTTTACTCATTCTAGTGCTCCTAATGGCATTTGCAAGAATCCTCATTCCCAGGTTGGTTTGCTCTCTGATGTAAAGCCCAGAGCAAAGCAAATCTTTTTTTGTTCTATTGATATTTAATGTGCTAATATTTTGTCATACCTTTGGGTTTGGGGATGCTTGTTTCTTTAGTTGTTGCACCCAGTTGCAATATTTATTTCATTTTGTATCATCTGGACTTAAAGACAAACATCACTTCAGGGAGAAGCTTGAGCAGCTTAGCAGATACTCAAGCTGTTTTATCAGACAGAACAAAATGGACTTAGAACATTGACATTTCAAAGAAAAATATTTTTATTACATATTCACTCCCTTTATTATACACACTGAAATGTCCTGACAATCCTTGTTCATCCTCAGTAATCATAATACATAAAGCCCTAGAGATTACAAATCTAGTTGGCACCCGAGATACTGCACACTCAGACTGATGGTATGTCCAGAGACAGTCTTTACAGGCTGACACAGCATCTACATGCCTACCTTTTGTAACACCCAGTATAGACCAGCACTGATACTTGTAGAGTGCCACTGCCCCTCATCATTGCTCTTTTGATTCAGTTTGTGTTCCCATATCCTTCCAGAGGGATGACAGTTTACATTGGCAGTGAGACAGGCTGGCTGTAGATGACACGGTGAATTCCAAATCAAGTGAAAAATGGGGCAAAAATCTGTACTGAAACTACGGAAACAGCAAAATGGCCTTTGGGAGTGAGCTGACCATTTAACAGACAGTTGATTATAGACAAACAGACAACTTAAATACTGTCTCATGTTCCATACAGAAGACAGAAACAGAAGACAACTTACAAGATATTGACATCCATGTAGATGTCCATATATTGTTATAAAGGTAAATAAATTAGCTCATCTTAGATATAAAACTGTACAGAATATGATGTTTGTTGCCATGAATAGCATACAACAACCCAGTCTCATATAAAAAC